GGAGGACTGGGACAGACATTTTTGGAGAACTCTTTCCTTTGTTCATGAAACTGCTGGTCTGATTTGCCCTTTGTCAGAGCTGCTGCTCCCTTCTGGCTCAAGTGGGAGTCTAATTAAAGGCCTACATATGCTTAGCCAGGCATGGTGGCAATGCCTATAATCTCAGCACTTGGGATGATGAGGCAGGAGGATCGCCACAAGTTCCAAAGTGGGTTCAAGGCCACATAGGGAGCCCCTGTCTCCAAAAAAAGAGAAGCCCTACATATGCCTGTATTTCCCCTGGGTTTGGTCTTCTTTCTTTGTAGATGGGCTCAAGAACCCAGTTCATGTTTAAATGAGATCAAAGTGTAAGGAAGGCTGGCACCAGGAGAGACTCTTGACTTACAGGCTTTTCTAGATGCTCATTTGCATTTGATCTTATTTTCTAAGCTCTCCACCCCTGTATTATCCATCACGGGAGATTCTAGATGTGATAGCCAAGGACCACCACACAACTGATACGGAGCATTGTGTGATACCATTTCCAGTTGTTCCTCTTTGGACTTAAATTTTCTTCTTAACCTCCCTTCCCCCACCTCTCACCTCCGTCTCCTACTCCTAGGGTCCACCTTGAAGACCTTTCTATGCTATTTCTTCCTCTTTTTCTCTAACTATGTCTTTAATATATTTAATTTTGGCTTTCACCTCCTCCACTTGGAGATGGATCCAGGTTTTGAGGCCAGTAGCTTTTATAGTACAATATGTTGAGGGTGGGGAGAGCACAAACTATGAAAATAATAAATACATGAAATGAGAAAATGTCACAACAAATTATAAATTTTGAAAAAGCTGATAAATGTCAGAAAAACTACCAAATCTAGAAATATAACTTTGTATTTTATATTAAGTACCTGTCACACCTCTGTACATCTTTTCCCTTACATTTCTTGGCTGCATCACCTTTGTTTCTTCATATGACAAAATTTGATAAAACAGAGCAAATACAAATATAATTTAACCTCTTCTCTAGTATAGTTGACCAAAATTAGTTTTTATTATAGGCAATTGAGACACAGAAAATATACAAATTTATACAAAGATACCCTTATTATTTGTATTACTGCTACAGATCTGTGCCTAACAAACACAGACAGGAACTTTGACATACTATATTTCATGTGATTCCTATAAAAATGGGAAAAACAAGCTTGCATTAATAATTGTACTCACTACTTTATCAGTCATATTCTTGACAGGAGAGAATTTCAATTTTGACAATGTGCTAATGAAAATGAAATGCCCTGCTTATAATTATAAATTTTGTGTAGACTACTTTCTCACTCCATGTATCTCAAACCTGCCTCTCACCCACCAAATAGCTCTTTCTGGTTGCCAGATACCTCAGGCCATGTTCATATCAGTAGGACCCTGGTCCTACATTTTTGTCACAATCCTAAGTAGAGTTACCACATTGGGTAGTAGAAGTAATCCTGGGAATCCCACACACTCCAGAACAATGGATAAACTATTATATATGAAAATGACTGTGAATTCTATAACACTGTTAAACCCAAAGTAGAGGTGTCTCCAACTCAAATTACCTGTAGCCAGATTCCAAAAATGCCCTTGGCCAGTTCAGTGGCACTTAACATGAAAAATGTGACAGAGAGGAAGTCAAAGTGACAAGAGATACCTTTACAAATAAACACATATAGGGCTGGGGATTTAGCTCAGTGGTTCCGGCACCTGCCTCGAAAGCACAAGGTCCCGAGTTCAATCCCTGGTACCCAAAACAAAAATAAAAACAAAAAAATCCAAAAAAAACCAAACAAAAAAATAAACACATATGAATATGTGAACATATTAATAATGCACTTTCTAGAATCTTTGGAGAGTCCATGCAGATGACTTGCCTTGGAAATTAAGCTTCATTAGCTTCATAGTAAGTCTTTTTCTAGCCACTAACTCACTAAAATGACTCAATGGACAGGTTGCCAAATCCACTGGTCACTCTCAGTCCGTCTCTTACTGTGACCGTCATCAACACTGGGTTGCTTCCTTCACTTTATTTTATTATTTTTTGTGTTGAGGATTGAGCCCAGGGCCTTGTGCATGTTAAGCACAAGCTCTACCACTGAGCTATACCACCAGACCCTTCACTTCCATTTTATGGAAATTTTTTTTGTCTTGTTTTCCATAACTTCATATTCTGCTGAGTTTTTCCTATTTCATGAGTTGCAACTTCTCTGTCTGCTTTATGTGCTCCAGGGCTCAGGACTTGGGCTGCCCCTCTAGCTCATTCCATCTCTAGGGATCTTATCAGGTCCCACTGTATGCAGCTATCTTAGTTACTTTTTTTCATTGCTGAGACAAAATACCTGACACCTAAAGTTAAAGGAGGGTAAGTTTATTTAGCTCATGGTTTGTAGAGGTTTCAGTCCATAATCGGCTGGATCCAAAGCAGGGGTGGATGGCAGATATGGATCATAGAGGAGAAAGAGTTCATGGTGGGAAGAAGGTAGTAAAGCAACAAAGGACAACCACAGCTCTTTCTATCCCTTATATCTTATCCAGGGTGCTTAGAGCAGGTAGCAGTCACGCCCTTAATCCTGTACCCTTGATTCTAGCATTGCACCATGAATCAATCCCAGCATCACACACTCTAGATCAAGATACCTCTGGAAAAGCCCCACCTGTGAGCGCATGAGGCTTTGGGGGGACATCTAGACACATGCCGTACAACAGCAGGTATAAAATGATGCCTACCACATTTACACCTCTGCCCTGAACCTTGCCCTGAGCTTGCGACATGTGAGTTGTCTGTCTACTCACTACTCCCCTTGGATAGCTAATAGGAATCTAAAAAACAAAATCACTGCTTTCAAATAAAAGTCAATCCTAAGCCTTTCATCTTCTCCAGTGCTTCTGCTCAGTACCTCAGTCAAAACAAGGCACCATCTCTTGATTTGTCTTTTTGCCTCTTGCCTGTTAGCTACTGCATCAGTCCCATTTTCCAAATATAGTTGACCATTTTCACTCTTTCTCCTTCAGCCACTCTAATTCAAGATCATTGCTGCCTATTGCCTCAACTATTGTTCCCTTGCTAGTTTCCTTTTTCCACCCCTTGCTGGCAGGCTTCTTTCATCTTCCACTTGGAATCCCCCAGTGGTTTCTTGTCACATTTGGAATATAATTTAGTCTGTTATGACTTGCAAGGCTCCCACAGTAGCTCCCCAGTTCAGCAGCATCAATATCAGCTGAGAACTTGTTATAAATGGAGATTCCCAGGCTCCCTCCTTAAAAGCAGAAACTCTGGGGGTGGCCAGCAATCTGCTTTCATACCCAGGTGTACAGGTGATTCTGAGGATGGCTGAAACCTGAGAAACACAATCTGCATCACCTGTCCAGTAGCTGGCTCTCCGACCTCATCACCTGCCACTTCCCTCACTTGCCTCACTCCTGTCTTACTGGCCTGGCTGCTCTGAGAAGAGGAGAGTAAATCCACAGATCTTGGCAGGTGTAGTGCCTCAGCCTCGGCTCTCTTCTCCAGCTATGTGGACCTTTAAGTCCCTCACTTCCTCTGCTCAAGTGTTGGATCCTTACAGAGGCTCCCCTTGGCCTCCCTTTAGGAAACCACACTCCCTCACCCTGGATTTGTTCATAACCGTTGCCACCATCTGTCATATTTTACATGTTTATTATCTCTATGAATTCAGGTGCTTGGGGATTGTCTGTCCCCTTCCATCCCATCCCCAGCACATGGGATATTGTCTAGTACTTAGTAGGAGCTCAATAAATTATTGTTGAATGAACTAGTGAACTGCTAGTATTTAATTAGTGGGGGAGTCACTTCTTTACCACCTACCTACCATTTCTCTTGAAAGGATCTCCTAAGCATTTCTAGTTCCTCTGTGAAATGGCCCTTGGTGGATCTAGGCCCAATTTAGTTGGATTTTTTTTTCTTATCTGTGAGTCTAAGAGGCGGATGATAAAGTGAAAAGCTCCTAGTTTTTGTATGCATCCGTCAGCTTTTTGTTGTTGTTATTACTGTCTAGTTCTGTTTCAGTTGCTATTTTGGAGAAAAGGTTTGAGCTCCATGAAAATAAATCAGTTCCATCATTTGTGTACCAGGGGCAATAACCATCACAATCAAATAGAATATAGGTCATTTTCACATTGGCAAACACTAGTAAGTGCTAAAGACATGTTAGTTTTATTTAGAACTTAGTGTCTTTATATTATAGGCAGCTAAGTTAGATAGAAATTAATATACAGACAGAAATTAGGTCCTCGAGGAAGTCACATGCAAGCCTCCCTAGAGATGAATAGCAACTTGAGATTGTATTATGATTGGCACCTTTTGGACTAGTGGTCCCAGATAGGCACCAGACACTTAGGTGGATGGTCACAAGATCCCAACCCTGGAGCCGGACTCTCAACCCTTTCCGAGAATGTCTTTGTCCTTTCTATGATTAGAAGTTATAGATAAGCTAAAGTTAATGATGCTCACCAAATATCTCTGCTATGTGCCCTGCTTCCCTATTGGATCAGTGGTAGCTAAGCGACTATACTTAGAATTCTATAGGTCGATCGTAGTTTGATCCATATTGCACCCACATTGTGATTTTACTGTGTAAATTACCCTCAGGAGGCTCAGTGGCCACCCACTTGGGACCTCTCCTGGAAATCCAGGAGCTATTCTTCTCCTTATTTCCAATAAAAATCGCTTAACCTCTTCTTTTGGTTCATGACTTCATTCTTTGATGTGAGATCACCAACTTGGCACATCTGATATCTAACAGGTTGAGGGTTACTTTCCCTGTCTCACTTAGTTTTTGAATAATGGAGATTTCTCCAGAAGACAATGAAATGTGAATATCCCAAGGTTGGTGGGGGGTGGTTTATGATGAAGAAGAGCTTCATGTGCTTAGAAAACTCAGCTCAAAACAGCACACAACAGTTTGTCTTCTGAGGCGTTCAGAATGTGGTGACTTTATAAATGATTTCTTTTTGTTTTCTAGGGAAAATACTCCTCCTTTCCTGAGGTAGTAATTCACTGGTGACCAAATCTGTTTCATGGCTCATGTTTCAAGGTAAGTAGGCGCAGAGAAGGGCATACTATAGCTGCGTTTCAGCTGCAAGCTCCTGGGGCCTGTTACCCAACTGTGGGAAGCTGCTGGGGCTGCTTTTTGGGGGGGTAACTACTGAAACAAATTCGTGGGGACCCTTCTTTGAGATGGCGAGTTTGTGAAATTCTGAAGAGGCCCTGAAGGCTGAGGTGCTGAGTGAGAGATCTGCTAAGAGAGTCGGTCTGTGACTGCAGGCCCCAGCCCAGGCTTCTCAACCCAAAAGTTACACCTATGCCATCCGTCTACTGTAGAATCCTGGTATGCTTCTCCCTGCTCTGTGCTGTTCCCATGTGCCTGTGAGTCTGCTCCCCAGACCAACACTTACTTCATGCCCCTAGAATAGCTGGGAGGTATACTTACCCCTCGGAGCCCTTCCGCCTTTAGGGTTCTTACCTCACTTTCTAGTCTCAATTCTTCTTCCCCTCCCTTGAAAGATCATTCTCCCCAAAAGCCAATGGTAGGAAATACCTCTAGAAATCAAAGGCCCTTGGGGTTTCAGAGAATTAAACTTCAAAGGCTGATTTTTCAGTAAAGTAAAGAAGGAAAATTATCTCTACTGGAGCCATTCTAAGGTCCCTCAACTGATGTATTCGTAGCTATGTTTTTCTGTGTGGCTCTAGTCCCTGAAGAATACAAGGTATTCGACTGATACTGATTTTGTTTCCTCTGTGTGAAATCTATATTTTTGTTGTTTTTATTTTTGCTGTTTTAATTTATTAGAATAATAATTGCAGTTTATTTTGTGATTTGTCAAGCTTACCCCCTACACAGAAACAATACAAAAATTATCATTATGTACTGCAAACATGAACTAATGAAATATAAAAATTGAAAAAGAGTTGGATAAAAGCCATTAAAAAAACACACCCTTACAATGGTCATGATATTAACTTTATTAAACAGAGCTACTGTTCAATGATTCTCCTTTTGTTTTTCTTCCCTGTAGCTTGCTAGGATTTTGCTACCTTTTTGAAAGTCCCAGGCCACAGGGCTATAAGTTGTTCTACAGTTTAAGTTTACCAGTTCAGCCCCAATGTGACACTTATTTTCCTTTCTTTGCTTCGTGTGAAATCCTGAAGCCAAGGCCGGACTTTTCCTGATTTCTTCCACAATTTCTAGCAGTTCCACTGCCATTAATAAATTCTGACTTCTTTTTACCAGTGGAGCATTTAAAGTTTCCCCTAAGTCAGCATAGAATTTCAAATATATGCTGAGAGCTGACAATCCTTTTCAGGGCAAATATGTTGGTGAAACTTATGAATAAAGATCATTTGCCATCTGTCTCCTATTTTCATTCATTAGGGATATTAACCCTTTGCCATGTATATTGCAGGTAGTTTTTCTAGTTTCTTATGTAATTTTTGATCTTCCCTCTTTATGGCACATTTTGTCCCTTAAATACTTTAAGTTTGTATAAGGCCTTTTTTATTATTAATTTTATTGGTACATTTTAGGTATGCAATATAATCGCATTCATCATTGGAAATTTGTATCTTTATATAGTATATCTTGGCTCTTATTTTTTTCCCCATTCCCCTGTCCTCCCTTCAACCCTTCCAACCCTCCCTATTTACAAATAAGGATCAAAAGGTATAATAGATAATGTGAAATAGGAAGAAAATGTATATGGTCTTTTAATTCTTTCATGTATGCTCTTTCCTCTGACATAAAAGGGAAGATCCCTGTGATGGAAGCCACCCTGTAGTTTTGGCAATTTTGGCTCTGTTAGACACAGAAGACAATCAGCCTTGGGGCCCTTCATTACTGAGTTTTGCTGTTAATATCCCAACAGGTAACTCAAACGTTTTTCCTATAGCAATTGGATTTTGTTTGTCTAGATCCTCCAGTCTAGACTTACTACAGTCATAGCTGAATCGATTGAACTCCCTCAGCCTTCTCTTTGGGAATGAATGAACAGCTTTGGGGAAAGGACTGGCAGTACCCAGGGTGGGGTGATCGTGCTACCACCATCTGATCCTGTGACTGCTGAAAACTGCTGAGAACCATGCTGTGCTCCTTGACGGAACGTAACAGTGAGTAAATGTCAGCCTTATCTTAGTTGGATACTCAGTACTTTGACACTATTATTTTTTGCATGCTCAAAAAATTTCTTCCTTAGCCTAACAAAGCAGTGATAATTTGCTCTTTACCCTTTATAAGCATATGCTTTTGCTTACATGTAGTCATAATCAGAATAGGAAATTGTCTTCCAGTTAACATTGCATTGCCTTTGTCTTACCATAATTCTATATACTTAGCACTTTCAAAGTCACCTTTGTTTCCTCAAATTCTGATTCCATCCACTCCCTCTGTCCTCATCTGTATAACTGCCATCATTAGGTATATTTCCTTCTAATTTTTCATGGATAACCTACTTAGGCTTCTTCATAAGATCTAGAAAAATTGCCTGTGGGTAAAAATCTCAAAGGTGTGGCATCGCTCAGATACTTTCTGCATTTTTAAAACTCTCTTGCTTAATTCTCTTTATTAACTCTTCTGTCGATAGTGGTAATGATTCTAAGGATATTTCATTTTCTTCTTTTCTAAATATTTAAAAAATTAGTTTTGCAGAATATTTGGCTTCAATGTGCATAATATATTTTGATCTTATATATCCTCTGTTACCCTCCCTTGTACCCCTTTCTCGGTATCCCCCCTTACACACCCCTTCCTCATTATTCCCTTCCTCTTGTCTGCTTTCATTTTATCTGTTTTAGATTCTATATACAGTATTATGGAGATCATGTGATACTTGTCTTTTTGAGTCTGGTTTATTTTGCTCAACATGAACTCCAGTTCCACTCATTTTCCTGTAAATGACATAATTGTGTTCTTTGTGGTTGTACAATGTTCTGTTGTGTTTATATACAATGCTTTCTTATCCATTCATCTTTGCTGGGCACCTAGGCTAGTTCCACATCTTGGCTAATGTGAATTATGCCACAATAAACATGCCTATGCAGGTATTGCCATAGTAGGCTGATTTTAATTTCTTTAGGTTTAACACTAAAAAGTGGTATAGTTGAATCAAACTGTAGCTTTATTTTTAGTGTTTTTGAGGAACCTCCATACTGACTCCTTTAATAGCCTATTCATTTATATTTCTACCAGCAGTGTAGAAGAGTTTCTTTTTGTCCCACATTCTCACCAGCATTTATTGTGTTGTTTTAATGTTCATAGCTATTCTGAGTAGGATGAGATGGAATCCCAGTGTAGTTTTGATTTAAATTTCTTTAATGGCTAAAGATGTTGAACATGTTTTCAAATACTTATTGATCATTTTTTTGGTACCAGGGATTGAACTCAGGACCTTGCACTTTCGAGGCAAGTGGCGGAACCACTGAGCTAAATCCCCAGCCCTCTTATTGAACATTTTTGAGGCCATTTGAGGTCATCCTGTGGTTTTGGCACATTTCACTCTGTTAGACTCAAAAAGTTGGTCAGATTTGAGGCTTTTTTAAACTTCTTTTGAGGTGTGTCTATTCTAACTTATTTGTCCACTTACTGGTTGGGCTCTTTGATTTTTTGATGTTAATTGTATATTTCAGATATTAATCCTCTGTTGGAAGTATAGCTGGTGAAGATTTTCTCCCATTCTGTAGGCTGTCTCTTCACTGTGTTAGTTGTCTTCCTTGCTGTGTAGAAACTTTAATTTCATGCAGTCACATCTGCTAATTCTTATTATCATTTCCTGTGCTGTTCGAGTTCTACTCAGAAAGCCCTTGCCCTTGTCTGTTGATTCAACAATTTCACCTGCTTTCTTTCTTTCTTTTTTTTTTTTCCAGTACTGGGAATTGAACTCAGGACCTTGTGGTTGCCAGGCAGGCACGGCACCACTGAGCTACATCAACCCCCTAGCCCGTTTTCTTTATCAGTTCAAAGTTTCAGGTCTTATACCTAGGTCTTTGGTTTATTTTGAATTGATTTTTGTATAGAGTGAGAGATATGGATCTATCACTCTTCTACATATGGTCATCCAATTTTGCTAGCACCATTAAAGAGGTTGTCTTTTCTCCAATGTATTATTTTAGCTTCGTTGTCAAGAATCAGATAGCTATGATTGTGTGGTATTATCTCAATGCCCTCTATTGTATTCCATTGGCAAATGTGTTTATTTTTGTGTCAGTACTTGTTACTTTTGTTTCTATGGCTTTGTGATATAACTTGAATTTGAGCATTATAATGCCTCTAGCCTTGCTCTTTTTTGCTTAGAATTGCTTTGGATCCTATAGGTCTTGCATGTATCCATTTGAATTGTAAGATAGTTTTTTTCTAATTCTGTGGAGAATGTCATTGGAATTTTGGTGGGGATTGGACTGAGTTTATAGATCACTTTTGATAATATGGCCATGTTAATAATATTCTGCTGATCCATGATATAGGAGATCTTTCTATCATCTAACATCTTCTTCAGGTTCTTCAGTGTTATATAATTCTTATTGTAGGGATCTTTCACCTGCTTGATTGTGTTGGTTCTTAGGTATGTATGTATGTATGTATGCATTTACTTAGAAGCTATTATGGAATTGTTTTCCTGAATTCTTTCTTGGCTAGTTCATTATTGGTATATAGAAAAGCTGTTGATTTTTTAAAAAATTAATTTTATTGGTACATTTTAGGTATACAATATAATGACATTTATCATTGGAGATTTGTACCTTTACAAAATATATCTTGATTCTTATTTTTTCCCCTTTCCCTGACCTCCTTTCAACCCCTCCACCCCTACCTATTAATAAAAACTTGGTTTCAGTTTTTTCATTTTCTCATGTTAATTCCATAGTTGTTGATTTTTTAAATGTTTGTTTTGTACTCTACTACTTTGCTGAATTTATCAGCTCTAAAAGTCTTTTGGTAGACTCTTTAGGGGGTTCTTTAGGATTATATCATCTGAAAACAAGGATAATTTAATTTCTTCCTTTCATATTTGTATTCTATTTATTTCTTTCTCTTGCCTAATTGCTCTGGCTAAAATTTCAAGCACTCTCTAGAAGTGTGAAAGTGGGTGGTCTCACCTTGTTCCTGATTTAGGAGGAATGCTTCCAGTTTTTCCCCATTCAGAATGATGTTGGTTGTGTTTGTCATATATAGCCTTTACGATATTGATATAGGATTTTTTCCCCATTAAGATTATTGGTATATTTTAGGTATAAAATACAGTTACATACATCATTGAGATCTTGTACCATTACATGAGTATCTTGGTTCTTATTTTTTTCCC